AAAGAGCCGTTGGGTTTTGAAGACTAAGACTGAAAAATTCTCTCCTATTGGAAGTTTGCAAAGATTGGAGAGTGTTAGTGGTCCTCGGTGTATCTCGGGATCTGGTGGAGTGTCCAAACCGGTTGAGACAGAGGATGAGTCGGTGGTGGGATTAGCCACGACTGAGTTGGAGCTAGTGGGAGCTTCAACTGGCCCTTCTAGTACTTGAAGATGAGGGGCGGCTGTAATTAGAGAAATGGGACTAAGTTTAGCTTGTTCTTAGGAACTGGAGGCTTGGAAGACTTGGTTGTTTTAAGATTACTGGAGTTGGATGACAGAGACGGACCATGTTGTTCAAACTTTCAAGTGGGAGATTGTTAGGTAAAATATGAAAGGTTGAAAACATGTGGCTATGCATGTGAAATAAAAGAATCAAATTCAATTGTTGGACGGCTAATGTGAATGGAAGGAAATTCAACGTCAACATTTGCGGCTTTCACATTTGAGTACTATTGTTACGACGACTCAACATTTGCGGCTTTCACATTTGAGTACTATTGTTACGACGACTCAATTTCATGTGCAAATTGCGGCTCTCTCACCTATATATATGCATGTATGTTTTGCATATTTTGTGTGCAAAAACTTGAGAGAACATCAAGTGTAGAATGTCAAGCCAATTGTAATCTTGTAAGTTTTAATAAAATTCTCTAGTTGCAGCCCGTGGACGTAGGATTTGCACCGAATCCGAACCACGTAAAATCCTTGTGTTCTTCTTACTTTATTTTCGTGAGTTTGTGTGTGTGATAGTGTGTTTCCGCTGCGTGTACCCGGTCCGGTTCCTAACACATCAAAGATTTATGTGGGGGCCCGCTTAATTGCCCATGATGGCAGCCTATTAAACCTTGCAAAACAACCTTGATTTAAGTAAAAGAATAAGCTATTACTGTGTTTATCTTTATGAAAAAAGAGATACATATCATGCCTAAGTTGGGATTTCATTTGGAGAGGGAACTTTGGGAAACTCATATGGAATTTTAAATTTTAGATAAGTTTTTTAGTTTTAAATTGATATAATCCAAATTAAAATTTAAGTTTGGATATATATGAGTATTTTATAGTTTTAGAATGATATTTATGTAATTTCAAATTTTATAAGGACATTGAAGTAATATTTAAAGTTTTTAAGGATATGAACTTCTTTTTATAAATTTTTGGGTTAACTGTGAGAAATAGCTATATACTTTCACTTGACCTTCCTATATACTTTTGGTGATGCTTGTAGTCGAGAGGTGAACCTCACCCAATTTCTATCACAACAACAACAACAACAAAACAAAAACACATTTGTAAGAAATAGCACTGTACTTTCATTCATTTATTTAATTTTTTTTTCATTTTTCAGGTTCTTCATAAAATTAGGGCAGAAAGGGCCTGTGCTGCTGCATTTATGTCTTTTCCACAGCCTACCAACGGATATTGTTGATGTTTTTCTTAAATTCCAAAATAAAGGGAAGTGGATGACAATGATTCATTCATGTTTAATGATGTATTTATTGCTCCTCTTTATCGTATAAAGGTGAGATCAATTAATTTTTTATACAAATATATAATGTGAAGTTCATATGAAACTGGAATGGAATGACTCATTCTATTCCCTTGCTTATTTTATTATTACATTCCATTCCAAGTACAGGTGAATGCTATCCAATTGAAGGAAATTGTGGAAGAAAACGCAAGCACCACAAGTGATGTTCCAGTTGTCCAGTGGCCACCATTCTTGCTTGCCAGTAAGGTACATTTGTTTTTGTTATTGGTTTTGACTTTTTGCCACTTAAGATCCCCATTGCATTAGACATGGTCAACGATTTCAAAGGAAAGGGAGATGCAGACCTGTTCAGGAAGATCACTAATGATGATTATATGCGGTCAGCAGTGATAGTTAAACTTAAGGAAACATTTTTTGGCCTTATTGATGACGACCGAGATAATATGTAAGGCGTACGTCTTGATTCTACTGCAAATTTATACTTACAAGTTGTTAGAAAATCTATTTCATTTTTTTCATTTTCTTTTTACTGAAATAGAAACTAGCATTCAATAGCGAAAGTTTTTAAATAAATTTCGTATGAGCGAATTGCCTTCACTCAATGATAAGTTGGAGAATTTCATGGATCATCTGGTAAGAGGCATTTCTTTATTATTCATTATCATTGGCAATCTATTCCTTAAATTGTTTTTTGCTATTTTTCTTTTTATAGGATCGTACATATTATATCACATCTGTTATTATATATATGCATTCTAATGTACTTCTAAAGGTTGTTGATTGTGTGATTAATAAAAGCTTTTTTGTTTCAGCTAATGCTCAAGTTATTACTTGCCATCTACACCCAGTGGACAACAACCAATTTTTTGACATGGATGATTTTTTTTGACATGATATCTGAAACAAGGTGTCCCTTAATAGCAATGTAGTATTAGGTTATATAGTTAGGGAAAACCTCTTAATAACAAGGTACAATCAAATTCCCTTAATACCAATGTAGTATAATTTTTTGACATGATGTTATTGGATGAAATTGATTGTTTTGGTATATATTTGTTTCCATATTTTTATATTATGCATAAATGAGAATCGTAAAGACGCGTCATAAATGCATATCGTAAATGGTTGCTGAAGTTTATGACACGCAAATACGTGTCATCTTCGTTTTATGGCAGGGGCTTTAATGATACACAATGCGTGTCCTAAACGTGCGTCGCAAGGTTACGACACGCAAATGCGTGTCGTCTTCCTTTATGACAAGGTCTTCCTTGATACGCATTGCGTGTCGTAAATGAGCGTCGTAAATACGTGTCGTAACTGCGCGTCGTAAATGCGTGTCGTAAATAAACGACGCGCAAAAGCGTGTCGTCTTTCGTTATGACAGGGCCTTCCTTGACATGCATTTGTGTGTCGTCTGAGCGTTTTACGACACGCATTGCGTGTCGTAAAAGGGTGTTTTTGTAGTGGAAGTTCCGGTCTATGCAGTCAATTGCGGCGTTACAGTGGAGCTATAACGGCGCTATAACGGTTAACAGAGGTAAAGAACCGTGATTTTCAAAATAGCGGGTTGTAATAGTGGTGGCGCTATTAAACCGCGATTTACCGTTATTTACCACGATTATGGTCACCGCTATAGCGGTGCTAAAATTGCTTTTTGAATAAATTTTTCTAGGCTATCTTACATAAAAAAAAACTTTTTTTTATCATTCCATTGAATAAAATTGTTTTTCCTTAGCTCAAACAAAAACTTTTGTGCCATTCCATTGAATAAAAATTGTGAGTATGTGACTATGACGACTTCCATCGACACCATGTATGTGTTGTATTATTAACTGTCAAATTTGTTTAATCATTTTATTTGCTAATTTTGATTATGTTAAAGTATGATAAAGTATAATAAGGTATGAAGTATTGCTTATGTTTCTTGTTGATTGTGTTAAGTAATTAATTAGATTGGGTAGAACTTTGAAGTATGATTAACTAATTAATACTCTAATATATATATATATATATATATATATATATATATATATATATATATATATATATATATATAGAATATAATATAATATAAATAAACGCTATACCACCATGAGAACTGCAATTTCAAATAGCGGTCGGTGACTGCAATTATATTTTTTACCGCGATAACTGCATAGGTTTCGGTTGACAAATTTAGTCTCTCCTTTTTGATGTTTATATATTTATATTTATTTTTATCTACTAGTTATAATTTAAATGTGGTAATTAATATTTGCAATATCCCATTATATATTTAATGACATTAATTAATCAGACCAAAGTAAAGTTTAATCTTTATATCGATCGAATTCTTATAAAATTTAAATACATATTAAAAATTTAAAATATGATAAAATATTTTATAAAAAATTATGATTGGGATATATCTTTCAAATGTATGGGTAATATTTCTTTAAATGCATACGTCTAATATTGATTTAGAAGTGTGTTATAAATATAATCTTATTTAATAAATTTTGCTACAATCAATTCGTAATTAATTCAAATTAATTATATACCAACAATATGTTTTCTTATAATTCTGTGTTAACATAATTTATAATATTATTTTAATGAAAATATAAAATCTATATTTATTAGAAGCTAATTTGTAGAAATGATGTTTTTGACAGTCTATGCAAATTACAAGAATGATATTATGAATATATATATTTTTAGGGTAAAAAATGAAATAGGTTTAAAGATTAAACACTATTATCCTATTTTATTTTTTTTACTCCATTTGGTGTTAAAAATAGATATGGGTTGAAGATGTATTTGTGTATTCTTTTTTTTTTCTATTAGTTTTCCAAAAAAATTAGTATCTTAATCCATGAACTTATATAGCAGCCTAAAAATTGAAACTAGATTTAGCCACACACAAGGTTTTAATTTATTACTAAAACTAGGCGTAAGTCTCATGTATTACATGAGTTCATTTAAAAAAAATTAAATATGAAAATTTTAAACATTTGAAAAAGTTTGAATTTATAAGAAAAATTATAAAAATATTGAATTATTAAAATTAAAGTGTTTTTTTCTCTTTTAAATTTAAACAAATACAATTTAAATAAATATACAAAGAAAACTAATCAAGTTTTAATTTAGAAATGTTAAAAATAGAAGGAAAATCAATTATTGAAATTGATATGTATTTATTATTAAATTTATTGCAATTATTAAATTTAAATATTATGTGAAATTTTATAAAATGGAAAAAACCATAAAATGACATGTGACCAAATAAATGATAGTGTAACATGTGGGGAAAAGATTTTCATTTATTAGAGTAGATGTTGCTCGGAATTTTGTCATGTAAATTTAATCGTGTCCTTTAAACTTTCGAATTATGAAACTATGATTATTAATGAGAATAGGTAACAACCCAGATCCAAAAAAGAAATCAAAATTCAAAAGTATATATATTTGATACAAAAAAAAATAAAAAAATTCAAACTGTTGATTCCACATCACTGTCTGCATGTATTTCGGGAAATCTTCTTAAGATACACCTTAGTATCTTCATCTTATTTTTGATATTCCATTTTTTACTAACAAGACCAACCGTCGAAACCAAAAGCGCTAGCGCCATTGATACACCGCTTATAAGAAAGAGGCCCCGAAGCCCGTAAAGATTCAAGATTTTTGGTGAAGGGGAAGAAAAATCCTTTGACGTCACTGCAGATTCACGATTTAACCATTTATCCTCTAATGCTTTCAATGTCCCCTCTTCTCGCATCTTTGTTATCTCAATCGACATCTCTCCAGCCATGGGTGAACCTTTCTGGAACACCTGCAAAAGTAACTATATTAGACATGGAAACGAGATCATCGGTGTGGAGTTATATATGGAACTGGATGAAGCCAAAAGGCTTAGCTAGAGAACACTAACAAAGCCAAAACCGTTAGTGGTGGATGCTGTAGCGATCAAGGAGAAGTCAGCAGCCGGATAAATTGCAAGGACTGATTTGAGATAAAGGATCTCGTCAACGATTGCATCAACGCTTCCACTTGTTAATGCATTGACGTAGGCCTCAGGTGTATATAGTGTCTCAAATTTGGTGTCTGCTAAGTTCAAGTTGTTATAGACAACTCCTCCTATGTTCGAAAGACCCTGGAATCCGATAGACCTCTCATTCAGTTCAATCTGTTGTACTGTTAAAAGTGAACTCAATGTTGCAGTGTAACTTGACGTGAGCACAAGCACTACAATAACCCAAACAGTAATCACAAATCTTGATAGATTACTTTGCAGCTTCTCCCCTGCAGTTTCCAATCACCAACTCAATTTCCAACAGATCTAAGGTACATGCTTTGTGAGTATTTTGTTACAAAGGTGAAGATTGATACTAATGTTCAAGAATATAAAATCTTTAAGTAAAATGAGATAAGAGAAAAGAGTTAGAGAGCTTACTGTGAGCATAAACAAGGGTCGAAAAGGCAAACCAGAGAGTTGTTCCAATTTGCTGTGTTGGTGAACCTTGAAATTCTTCGTTGGTACGATGTTCAATAAACCAAATAACAAATCCCAAAAAGAGAAAGAAACAAGCACTTATGGTCCAAAGATCTGCACTAAGAGGATCTAAGAAGATCCAGATGTTTTTCTTGGAGTTTTGGGCTAGTGTGCCTATTCCCAGATCAGTAAAGGGCAATGTGAAGTCAACATAAAGAGATCTATTTGCTGTGATGGTTATATCCCCAATAGCAGCATCATATTCCTTAAGAGAGACTTTGTCGATTAGATCATTGTAACTACGTCCATCCTTATAAGGGTATGGAATAATCTCAACCCCTACTCCATAGTCTATGGCCTTGAATGCAGCATTGAAAACATCCCAACAGAATCCACTCACACCCGATTCATTTGTTCTTGGATCAATAGTAAGTTGTACTAAATTCGGGAATGTGCCGAAATCTGGAACGAGAATTCTCAGCTTCTTGCCATTCGATTGTAGCTTCAAACTTTTTAAAAAGGTTGAAGTCGCATGTGCTGTTAAAAGGCTTTGAAAGCTAAGAAACATCAATATTAGAATTGCAAATAACCTGCAATAATTCGACATTGGCAACACAGAGCTTAAGTTTCCTGCAGCTCTGGGTACATCAGGAAGACACAGTAATACTTTTACAAGAGTGCATATAGAAATGGAGTCCTTTCGAAACAAGTACATAATTAAACAAATAGGAATAGCATATGAACTCATGAAAGCTCAGTTGTTGACATTTGATTTTGATCGTGTTATGCCGCCATGCATGAAAATATTGGCATTGACTAAAGAGGTAAATCCTCGTCCTTTAAATTGGGAACATAAGTCTATTAATTTTGTCAGAGCAATCAGCATCAATGCGAACCCTTAGAAAAAGGATGGATTGGCTAACGGGTCAACTAAAGGCTAATTCTAAGCATGGATCAAAATGGATTTGGATCTTTTTAGCATATTTATAATTTTACTGATAATATATATATATATATATATATATATATATATATATATATATATATATATATATATATATATATATATATATATATATATATATATATATGGGAAAAGTGAATATACCCTTAAGGGTATATAAGCTTAGGTACCCAAACTCATAATAATACGTCGTTTTGTTTGATATATTCATTATAATATTGTTAAACTTCAATCCTTAACTTGATTTATATTCAATATTTTTAAATTTTCACTATTATCTTCCTCTTACATCATACCTTTTTGTCGAACACTTACTAGGCTATATATATTATTGTTGAAAATGACAATTATGTAAGAGGAAGATAAATATGAAATTTATAAAAATATTTGAAGTAATTCAAGTTAGAAGTTGAATTATAAGAACATTGGACAATTACAATGTCTATATATGACACAAAACGATGTAGTATGGTGAATTTGGGTACCTAAGCTTATATACCCTTGAGGGTATATTCACTTTTCCCTATATATATATATATATATATATATATATATATATATATATATATATATATATATATATATATATATATATATATATATATATAATTAGAAAAGTTTATTATAAAAAATATACGAGAAATTTCGTAGAATGACAACAAGATCCGCAGAGGGTGCTCTGCGGATCAGTTAAAGCATCTGAGAATCGATGCACACCTCTGCGGAAATGAGGTGACATCATTTTTTTTTTTTTTGGGATTTTAAGGATCCGCAGAGGCGTCTCTACGGATCTTCTATTTGCTCTGTGGATCCTCGAAAGGTTATGAGGATCTCGGTCGAATACCCCTACATTGCGAAAACAACCACATACCTCATACCTTATTGTGAAAAGATGTGTTATCCGATGGCTATGGAACACATGTAAGTTTATTTTTCTTCCTTTTGAATCGTAATTGCCCGTTTTTTGAGTTAATTATATGTTCGTAGGGTGTATGATAGTTTGTATTAGTGTATGATAGTTTAGTGATTAGTAAATCCCAAAATGTTTGCCCGATTATTGCCATGGAAGTATCTTTTCTGCGAAGAACAGATCCGCAGAGGTGTTTCGATGAAGAACAGATCTGTAGAGCCCCCTCTGCGGATCGATGTTCATCTCTGCGGAAGTTAATTTTTTTTTTTTGGATTTTGATTTTGATTTTATACGCAAAAAGGATTATTTAGTAACAAAAATTATTAGAAAGGATTATCAAAGTACATTGCTATTAACAAGTTTAGAAAGTAAGGGCATTATTGTCCATTTACTGTTTTTTTCATTTATAATGATTTAAAATTATAGGAAATGATTATTAAATAACAAAAATTATTAAAAAAAATTATAAAATTGGATTACTAAGAAATTTCACATGTTAATAAAGAATTGAATGAAAGTACCTTGCTATTTTTTGTTTTGTTATAGCATTTTACTTTCGTTTTTGTTATTACAACATTCTACTTTGCCATATATATATATATATATATATATATATAATTTCTCTAAAAATATTTCTACATGAATTACCGAATCCGAGTACTCCGAGTACTCGCTACTCGGTAGCCAGCCGAACAGGTACCGAGTAACGAGTTCTACAACCTTGGTCGTCCCTAATTCTTAGTTTATCTTCAAAACGATCATTTTTCCGCCCAAGATCTATCGTTTGTGCATCCTTCTCAGCAAGCCATTTTTCAGTCATTTTGATAGTCTTCTTAGTATTTTTTATCCATTCTTCTTGCTCTTTGATTTTATTTTTATTAATCTGCATCCGTTCCTCAGCTTCTTTGCACTCTGCCGCAATGACGTCACGACGTTCAGTGAGAGACCGAGATGACTCTTTATCTATTTTTTGTTGTTCTTCAGCCCATTGCAATTGTTGCAAAGTATCATCAGACATATATGACCCTCTCATGTTTGGTGACGGTGCGAGAAAAGGGTCTATCGAATCACAATAGTAACAATCAACTTCGTTTCATGAGCAAATATAGAATTTTCAAGACGAACTCATATTAAAATTCGAAATAAATTGTAACTCTTTACCCAAAATTCAACGATCATCTATGACAATTTATACACCCTTCAAGTCCGTAGAAAGCTGTTTGTCAGTCCGCAGAGCTGTGTGTCGGGAACTTAGGTTTAAATTCTTTATTAAAAGGTAAATATTATTAATAAAAAGGTACACATTATTTATTAAAAGATAACAACAACAGACCAAAACTAAGGTTAACATATAACTAAATACAAACTAATATTAGTTGTGATCTATACATTACAATTCAAGTAAATTGTCGTGGAGGTAAGACGACAATACTTTCAACTGGTATTTCCCAATGCATAAGGATTGGAATAGGATTCACCATCTCAGTTTGATAAGCATTTCGATACACCACAGTAGTTAACTTTAAATTTACCATAAGCTGGATTTCTCTAATTTGAAGCCTTTGTAGTGATGCTATAGCGTGATCACAAGGTAGACTGCATTTTTGCCATTTCCCGCAAGTATAAATCCCACGTTCTAATTGCACGGATTCGGTGGTTAAATACTTACTCACTTCATATCTGTCGCCAACAATATGCTTAACCCTACAACCATCATAGTTGATAAATCTTTTTTGAAGCACCTTAAGTGCATAAGGGGTTAGAAGACCATGAAATTCCCTTGTGAAATTAACTGAATCATCAAATAAAAATTATGATGTGATAATGTATAATAACATTTCATTATTACCTCTGAATGCAGCACGTTGAACATACACTCCTTGCATGGAGTCATGAACCGTTTGAATGATTGTTGTTATTGGTAACTCATGTCTGTTTGTTCTTATTCAGTTGACGACATCGGGAATGTCATTGAATTTCACATTGAAACGTACTTTAGGGAAAAAAGCCCATACCCATTTTGCAATGGCAATATTGTCAAGCCAGTGAAGATCATTCCCATTCACCTCATTTTGTAAGATGTTCAAACTCGCATAAAAATCAGACACATTATACGTTTTGCATGTCTTCCAGAACAACTACTCCATGAGTGTATTGTTTCCGATGGAAGCCCGTATTTTCTCAGCTATATTTTTACAACAATAGCCATGATATGAATCAGGGTAGACTCTCTGGACTGCAAAGTCTATGGAGTCAGACATATTGCTTATGAAACCAACTTCCATACTGTCACCTAAACATTATTTCAGCGTCCTCATGAACCATACCCATGACTCGTCACAGTTTATGGTTCCCAAAACAAATGCTATGAGTAGGGGTTCATGATTTCCATCTAAAGCAACCGCAATGCACATGGATGTTATGTAAGTCCCAATTAGAGGTACGTGACCAACGAATATGATTGGTATCATAGACGTGAGAAACTTACGAATCTGCAAGAAAAGATAAGAATAGTAGCCATTTAACAACTTCAAATAACAAAAAAAAATAGTATAAAGGATTACATACCACACATCCCAATGCCACAAAAAAAATTGGAAACGATCATACGAATCTTTCTTAATGCACGTGAAGGTGTTAGGATTGGTTCTTTGTAGATTATGGAAGAAAATCAGTAGGTTGGAGAAACTTTTTTTTAACACCTCATTGAATGAATTCATTTTCACGACTTTCCACACCTTCTAAAAATTAAAATGGTTGTCGAATTTAAACGGAATCCGTATTCATTATTCCGCAGAACTATTTATGAATCCGTAGAGCTGTTTGGGAATCCACAAAGCTGTTTGTTAGTCTGCATAACTTTTTGGGAATCCGCAGAGCTGTTTGTCATTCCGCAGAGCTGTTTGTGATTCCGCTTAGCTGTTTGTCAATCCGTAGAGCAGTTTCTCAGTCTACAGAGCTTGTTGTCAGTCCGCAGAGCTGTTTCTCATTCCGCAGAGCTGTTTGTCATTCCTCAATGTTGTTTCTCATTCCGCAAAGCCAACTAACAGTCATTTTTCTTATTTAAGTAATCATTTATTCTTCAATAAAATCACACCTTTATTCTTGCAAACAAACGACCTCGTATCGAGATTTTCTTGATTTTTGAACCTTAATCTGAAACTTTTATTTAACAGCTTTGAATTTAACAGAAGATGTTATGTCTTTTTTGGTGTTATAGGTTTGATTCACAAATATTTTATCATTCGTACCTAAACTGTGAAATGGTCCAGGTTCAAAAATAGGTTCTAGACAATCAGGAATAGGAGGAATACAATACCAGGGATTAAAAGCAATTTTCCGTTGCGTGTACTCATCTTCCGACCAACCTTCATTTGATTTTTCATCAGCTAATTGATCATCAAAATCAGGTACTTCTCCAAACTCAAATATATTTGATGTTCTAATTCTGTCATGCACAAATTTGGTTCATTATCATCATATGATAAAACGTTATCGTTATTTGATACAAACTTATCAGCAACTGAAGTTTTCTTTTCATAATCCACTCCCACGTCATTTCCTCGTCCCCTGGACCGCTTTCCACCAGATTGTCTATATCCAGGACCTCTACTACTTTTTGCTCCAATAAACTGGCTTTTCACCACATGCTATTCTTCAACTTCTTTACCTACCACCGATAAATACAAACGCACTTTCAGCTTTGTTTCAGACATTACATGTTTCAGGTGATCTACATCTGATTCATCTGCAAGCTCCATGACATACCCGCACTCCGGGTTTTTAAAAGACAAAGATATATGACTACTGAACACACCGACCTTATTTCTAACCATTTGTAATAACATATGATGGTCAAAGTTAGGAGGAAGAT